TTTAAATCTTTTAAAGCTCTGGGGAATTAAAAGATTTAAACGATTTAAATCGTGAGCTGACCCTATTGTTGGAGGATTCCTGGAGACTTCAAAGATTTAAAAGATTTAAAAGATTTAAAAGAATTAAAAGATTTAAAAGAATTAAATGTTTTAATCTATTAAATCTTTTAAAGCTCTGGGGAATAAACAGATTTAAAAGAATTAAATATTTAAATCTTTTAAATCTTTTAAAGCTCTGAGGAATTAAAAGATTTAAAAGAATTAAATATTCAAATCTTTTAAATCTTTTAAACCTTTTAAATCTTTTAATTCTTTTAAATATTTTAAATCCCCAAAGGACGTGAGATTCTGGGAACCTCTTGGGATTTAAATCTTTTAAATCTTTTAAAGCTCTAGAGAATTAAAAGATTTAAAAGAATCAAATATTTAAATATTTTAAATCTTTTAAAGCTCTGGAGAATTAAAAGATTTAAAAGAATTAAATATTTAAATATTTTAAATCTTTTAAAGCTCTGGAGAATTAAAAGATTTAAAAGAATTAAATATTGAAATCTGTCAAATCTTTTAATTATTTCAATTCTTTTTATTCTTGTAAATCTTTTAAATCTATGAAGTCTCGAGCAGCCAGCATATGCATAATATGACCTAAAGGTCCCTCATACATATATATATAGTAAATATAAAGTATAGTATATATATATAGTAAATATAGAGTATATATATATATTATTTATATAGTATATATATAGTATATTTTTATATATAATATATATAGTATATATATAGTATATATATAATATATATATATATATCGTATATATATAGTATATATATATAGTATATATATAGTATATATATAGTATATATATATAGTGTATATATATAGTATATTATATAGTATATATACTATATGTATAGAGTGTAAATATACTATATATATATAGTATATCTAGATAGTGTATATTTATAGTGTATATATAGTATATATAATATATATATATATAGTAAATGTATAATATATATAGTTTATATATAGTGTACATATAGTATTTATGTACTATATATATATATCTACTATAAATATATAGACTATATAAATATATATATATATATATATATCTACTATAAATATATATAGTATATATATATATATATATCATAGGATCCTTGCTTCCGGGGGCCAGATTTATTAAGTCAGATTTCTGGCGACAATGGACACAAACGCGCACAATGCACAATGCACTGGTAGACTTTACCAAGCCTTAATAAGGCCTAATAATGCCTGTTAAGGTTTCCCACTGGTTCTGGTGAACAGTGCAAAAGTGCACGAGCTTATTAAGAGAAAAATGGGCCTTAATAAGGCACCAATAAGAAATACACTTTGGGCACACTAGGTGAAAAACTAATTAAGGCTTATTAAGGAAACTGCTCTGGAAAGCTGGATGCGTTCCAAAAAAGGAAGTATTTTTGGGCCCAAGATGGATATCCATTAATAAGCCTTATTGAGGTTATGACATCTCGACAGCTTCTCAAATGCCTTCTAGCCATACGCAAGCGCTTGTACGGTTTCGGCATTGGAAGGTCCCAGGACGTAGTTCCAAGGTTGGAATTAATTTGGTTCATAGTTGGAGGATTAAGGTTCAAAGCTTTCAAGATTCCAGGATGGAAGGGTTCCAGGTCAGCTCAGGGTCTGCGTGTATTATGCGTGATTGTGCCCATTGCCGCCACAGATCTGGCTTCATGGTTTTGGCCCTTGAACTAGTGAGTCAAAAACAACTGACAGGCCCACAAAGAGTTTAAGCGTTTCCCTGACGCTTATCATAGCATATAGTATAACGCCCGTAACGGAATCCTCCGTTTGCCATTTCACATGACTACGTCCGGAAATTTCACATGACTTTTTTGGCAGCTGGCCCCAGAAAACCCGAACTTGCACAGTTTGGGAAACATTCCAAAAGGGGCCAAAAAAATAGAAAGTAACTCTTCGGAGGCATATCCCATGGAAGCTTCACATGCTGCTTTCTTGGGGGATTGAACCAACACCTCCACTGGTTTAATAAGGCTTAATAAGGGTTCATAACTGCCTGTACCTTTTGTTTTTTTGTTTTGTTTTTTATGTTCATTTATTTGGTCGTTTGGCTTCCTCATGGTTTGGTCGTTTTTGGCCATTGTTTTAATCATTTTGGCGAGATTTGGTCATTGTTTGGTCCTTTGTTGGGTTATTTTTTTGTTTTCTGCTCGTTTTTTTGTTTTTTTTAGGTCATGTTTTGGTCGTGTTTTTGGTTGTTTTCGTTTTTTCCTTATTTCTTAAAGTTTTGGTTGTTTTTTGGTAATGTTTTTGGCTAATTTTTGGTGATTTTGTTAATCATTGTCTGGCCGTTTTTTGATCATGTTTTGTCTTTTTTTGGTTGTTTTTTTTTTCGATTTGTCCTTATTTTATTTTCTAGGTTTTGGCCTGGGTGATTTCGATCTTTTTCTTTTGTCAAAAATGAGAAAAAACAGAAGATCTTCTTTGCAAGGGGCCCTTGGGGTGAAAGGGGTGCTGAAAGATGTAAAAAAAAACAATCAAGCAGCGATGGCACCAGGAAGGCTTACAAAGGACTACTGTTAAATCTTATTAAGGCTTATTAAGGTTCCAGGGAGGCGTCAGGAACTGCTCGCCAGGCGCCAGGAACTGCTCGCCAGGCGCCTCTGGAGTCCTAGTTCATGACTTTAACACGCCCTGACACACCGGGGTAACACAAAGAGGAAACACAACGGGGAAACAACATAGGAAACAAAATGGAAAAGCGCAAAACAAAAAAATGAGAAAAGTCATATCTATAAAATTTAAATCTATTTAATTGCTTTAAAACAATGTATGTATTTTTTGTTTTTTATTAAAATTAACAACATTTTTTAAAGATTATTGATACACTCTTGCATCTAAATCAAACTTGGGCGCTTGTTAAATAAATTTGTTTGTTAGATGAGCCGCTGTATGACTGAACCCTGATGTATTGTTTGATTCATATTGTTGAAAGTTAGTGTATAGGCGGTTTGCCAAGTACTAGTGACACTCTCATGCCCCGGGCCCAAACAGACTCATATGCAGCATGCAAAATGATATGTGTTGATGACAAGACCAAGGTCTTACAAGGGTTAACAATAGATCCAGTCCCTTATTAAGGCTTATTAGGGTCTACTTGGTTGCCATCAGATTCCCGTATCATCTCTTCAGGGTTCCTTGTGAGAGACACTACTTCCAGCACCTGCCAGAAAAAAAAATTCTGCATGTAACCGGTTTTAGTGCCGGAAAGGTTCCAGGATTCCCCAAACTACACAGACCAGAGCAGGAAAAACGTGTGTGGCTTAGGAAAGCTTAATAAGGCTACACTGATTTCTGCTTCTTCTGGGGCCCATTTCCAAATAAGCCTCATTAAGCACATGTGTTCCCAACACCTGATATCATGTCCTTCCTTAATAAGGGTTATTTTGTTGGAGCCAGAAAATTGCATACTGCTTATTAAGGGTTATTATCCCAATAGCATCTCTGAGTCGTAAGAAGCAACCAATTTGGTGAATCACATGGTTGTGCTTATTAAAGTTTATTAGTTGTTTTTCCAAAATTCATGGGCAGGGAGTGTGTTGGGAGAATGTTTTCCGCAACCTACACAGACCAGAGCAGGAAAAACGTGTGTGGCTTAGGAAAGCTTAATAAGGCTACACTGATTTCTGCTTCTTCTGGGGCCAATTTCTAAATAAGCCTCATTAAGCACATGTGTTCCCAACACCTGATATCATGTCCTTCCTTAATAAGGGTTATTTTGTTGGAGCCAGAAAATTGCATACTGCTTATTAAGGGTTATTACCTCAATAGCATCTCTGAGTCGTAAGAAGCAACCAATTTGGTGAATCACATGGTGCTACAAAGGATTGCGCTTATTAAGGGTTATTAATTGTTTGTCCAAAATTCATGCGCAACGGGTCTGTTGGGAGAATGGTTACCCCTAAAGCCTGGATATTTCTTTTTTAGGGGTTTTAATCTGGCTTAATAAATCTGGCCCCCGGAAGCAAGGATCCTATGAATATATACACTATATATATATACTGAAAGTAGATCGATACATATAGTATATATAGTATATATATATATACATAGCGAATATATATATATATACATAGTGTATATATATAGTATTTATATATAGTATATAGATATATAGTATATATATAGTATATATATAGTATATATATAGTATATATATAGTATTAGTATATATATATATAGTATATATATATAGTATATATATATAGTATATATATATAGTATATATATAGTATATATATAGTATATATATAGTATATATATAGTATATATATATAGTATATATATATAGTATATATATAGTATATATATAGTATATATAAATAATATATATATATATAGTAAATATATATATATATATATTGTGTGTATGTATAGTATATATATATATACATTTATGAATATACATGGGGATTTTCATAATCATCCATTATGGGAATTCCAACTACTAACAACAACAACAGCAACAACAACAACAACAACAAGAACAACAACAACAACAACAACAACAACAACAACAACAACAACAACAACAACAACGCCAGCTGCCATGTGGAAAGGCGCGAGACAAAGCTCGTCTGCGAACCGCGATTGAAGGTGCCCTCAAGGCCTAGCTGTCGCAGCTTTTGCGACCATTCATTGTTGCAGTTCGGCTTTGTCTAAAATTCGGGATGCAAAAAACTTTTGATGAACTATGATGAACCAATATGAACCATGGGATTTTGGGGGTACCTCATTCATTTTCAGAGAAAACCCATTTGAAAAATGGCTGAAGGTCCACGTGGAGGAAGCCGTTGTGAAAAAAGGCAGAGATGCCCTGCGGGCGTTGCAGGTTCGCCGCAGGAAACATTTTGGGAGGAACACTCCGGTATTTTTCGTCAAATCGCTATGGACAATGGTTTATTTATAGATGAGATACTTGGAAAGATATATACACAGATGATTTTCCATACTAGTAGCTATGTTAAATTACCAGAGGGTACTTGCTGCATTTTGTTGGTTTTTATGGTACCAGTAATACAGATAGTATGAAATACTATGCTAAGTATGAGATAAATAGTACCATGATGGTAATATAACGGAGGATATATGTATATATATATATTATATATCCTGCTAATCATTGAATTCCTGCAAGACTTGGGGCTTGTCCAAGAACTTTGAGGATCTTTGGGGTCTTCCATCAGAGTACCTGCGGAGGCACGCGAGGCTGCCAGAGAAGAGATGCGCAAGGCAATTGCCAGCAAGGCAGGGTCAGAATGGCTCAGAATGGCTCAGAATGGCTCAGAATGGCTCAGACCCACCGAGTAGGACCACTAACTATAAGTCAAACAGGTCAGAGTACAAGGGTCTTTTATGACGGTTTAGTGATGTCTGAATATTTTGAAACCAACGTTCTCGAGCTCTGAACGGCCAGTTTGACACGTTTGACCAAGATCGTTACAGGAACCAGCAAGGCTGAAGGCAGCAATTGCAGCAGCAGAGAAGGTTGGTCTCCATGACCAGGCCCGGTGGCCCCATAATTGCATTTAGTGGATTTGTAGCGCGAAGATCTATGAAATTCAAAGATCAGTCATGGTGCAATGCTCATAATAATACAGGAATTCAAGAGACGGAATCCTGCCACTGTGTTTTTTACATACATTTGACCTAGCCGAATCTAGCCTCTGGGACTTTTGCATTGACGCCGGACAATAGATCAGTCCTCAGGCACCTGGAATGCTTGGAGCAGACCCCAAGGAACAGGACGAGCACCCCGCTCAGACATGCAAGTTTGAGTTGGTTGACACGGGTTTGTCCAAAAATTGGATATACCCCAAAGCTACAGTTTTTAGTGGTAAAACATGATAACCCATCAAATTCGGGGTATGCCATTTTCAGATAGCTGATGGGTTGATTGTTTTGATGTGACACTTGCTTGTTGGGCCACGTTTGAGGGTGGAAGAAGCCCGGCAAGAGCTTCGAGTTCATGCGATGGCGAGGCATCCGTTCTTTTAAGACAACAGCAACACTTGAAGATGAAGACGCTAGCAGCAAAGCAATCTGCAATACACTCGATAAATTGCAACTGAAGGCTTGCAAAGTTGGCGGATTCTGAAGATGTGGAGAACTTTGCCAAAGGTTTGGAGGCTAGGAATCCATGGGAAAGTGTTGCAGTGGAGTGCTCTGGCTATGCTGCCGGCTTAAGCTTGCGATGGAAATCACCATAGTTGCCAAGGAGCTCGCAGATCATGGTGTTCCCAAGCAAGAATGGCATCACTTCAAGAAGAGGTCGGCTGAGACTGTTAGACATTTTGTAACTCTACTGGATGCATATTTAGGCTGTTGTGAAGGCACCGTTTGTTTTTTTGCTAGAATCGAACAACATATATTTCTTCTCCATGTATGTATGCCTACGTATACTAATCATACTATATCATACTTCTATTAGTCTATCCAACCCTCTGGTATATTATATAAGTTTTGGCTGGTTGGACTTTGGGAATGCAAGAACATGTTCAATTTTGCATGATTTTCTGGCATGGCAGGCATTCACAGCTCAAAATCCGCCAGCAATGCCAGACAAAGCTTGCCTTGGCAACGAAGGTTCGGGTGAATGACGCTTGACATCTTGCAACTCTTCCAACAGTTTCGACACAGGGTTGTCTGAAAATAGGGCATGGTTAGTCGTAGGTTCCATTAAGATTACCACAGTTCCACTGGTTGATTATGTTTTTTCCGTATTCTCCCCATAGGAATCACAGTTTTGCGGTGTAAACCCCCCCATCTTCAGAGCCATATTTGACGTTCCAGGCCAGAAATAAAGAGCAAATTGCCGCAGCGATGCAAGAAGCACAGGCACCAATGGAACCACAAACTTGGAGTTTTTCACGAAAGCTAGCTTCTGCTAGCTGAAGTCCCTCTTACTTTAGCAAGGTATTGGGAGGGCTGGAATCTCCAATCGCAAAAAACTTCATACTTAACTACAACCTCTTCCCTGTTTTCGTTTTTGGACTGAAACCTATCAGGGCATATGCATGAGTACTGAGCAAACTTAAAAACGCTGTCAAGGCCCAAGAGACAGATATGGAGGTATAGCTTTGTAGACTAGGGGCGGCACCGAGTGGCTCATTGGCCGATAGAGGCAGAACAGTGCGTGCAGCCTGGGAAGACGCTCTAGCTGATCCTTTTCCTGCAACTGGTAGCGGGGCATTGCTCCAGGTGTACAGAGTAAGCCCAATGACAAGCCATGGCTATGATGATGATTTCGACATTGCCGATGATGGTAGCTCATGGGACCACTATGAATCCTATGCAATGAGAAGGGGGGTACCCAACAACCTGCTATTCACATGACCCAACAGATGACCGCGAAGGTATTCCCCGTCATGTGATGGAAAGACCAGCTTCTTTGCTTTTGAAGATGCAACTGATGACCGGCGTGATCTGGGACCTGAAAAACATGGACCTGCTTTGAGGAACAGGCTTGAAGTAGAAGCAGCTGTTTGCAAGCGAGATTCTTGCGACCGTATTTCATCAAATGAGCTCAGACAATGTTTCTGCATCGATTCATGCAGTTCATGAAACACAACAGAGGTACAATGGGTTTGCAAAGATGGATGACCAAATTTCGAATCACCGGAGAATAGCCTAACTAATTGAGTCTTGGATCCATCTCTTATCTGATTTCGAGATTACAAACCCAGAGGCGATTGCACATGTCAATGAGAAGGAAGTTCATGAAGCTCAGCAACAAACCACAGCAGATCTGGCAGCAGCCACTCCAGGTGCAGACCCCCACATCACTATGCCTTGGACAGATGATATGGCGATGGCCGCATTCACTTAACTCATCGCAGATAGGAGATTCAGATCCTTTACTTGTTCACCTCACACCATCTGATCTTACTCCTCAAGAAGCTCGCGCTTACAGCAATCCAGACAAGAAGATGGAGAGAAAAGCGAGGAGAAAGGATATCCAGAGGCAGAACAAGCACGAGGGACATCCTCAACAAGGTGATGAAGAGGATGATGGTCTTTGGTTGGATTTACAATCGGGGCAGAACTATACTGGTCGACCTTATTGGCATCAAGTTTCCAACACTGGTCGAGGTCGATCGTCTTCATCGTCTTCATACTGGAGACCGAAACGATACCTGCATAGTTCTAAAAGGAGAAGATAGCACAAGGTCAGTTAGCTCTGTACAGTTTTGCATATGATTCACGTTTTTGCATTGATGGTATACTCTTAAAAGAAAGAGTTTTCACCCTTTCAGTTTGATATATACTCCTAAGAGACGGAGAGTATCACACATCCTACATCAATCATTTACTCTGCGAGAGAAACTAGTATTTTCACCCTTCGATTTCTGTCCGTTGTTACTTGAATGAGCGACTTTGGAGATCCGATTTCCAATTGTGTATTTTGTGTTTTGGTCTGCTTTTCGTTCGACCTGAAATTCTGAATCTGGCACGCGCTAGATGGAAACTTTCACCGGTAGAGCATTTTGACAGATCGACCGTGCACTCCGCACCAGTGTCGAAAAATACCGAGAGCTGACATTGTTTTTGATTTTTGACATGTCCTAAGAATTAGTCACGATTCCACCGCGCACTCCGTTCTTAAGACCATTGCGCATTCCCCGCTATTTTTGCTGTTTAGCCAAGGTGTTGACTAGTTTATTTGCTATGAACTCCTGCGACAGCAAGACGCAGTGCTCAATTCATTGCTTTTGAACTTGTGCATGTGTTTGTGTTTTGGACTGAACCCTATCAGGGATTATCAGGGCACATGCATGAGTACTGAGCACAGTTTAAAACACTGTCAAGGCTCAAGAGACAGATAGAGCTATAGCATGGTATCGTTTTGTAGGCTAGGCGCGGCACCGAACGGCTAATTGGCCGATAGAAGAAAGACAGCCAATGACGCTGTTGCCCTCTTCATCCCCTCCCTCCCCTTGGTTGGTTCACAAATAGTTTGGCCGATTCTCAATCTCTCCCGGGGACACCGTCGGCATGTCGCCCCCGGCAACAAAATCGGCAGCATCCGCATCCTCAGCATCATTGTGTTTTCGTGCCAAGTTCCCTGTCAAGTTAGCTTTTGTCCCTTACCCCTGGGCCTCAAGCTTGCTATTGAACCAAACATATTTTTTGAGATGAACATGTTGACCCACGTATACTCTTATAGATTTGCCGGAATTCACATGATGGCTCCATTTTTTTGAATGATGATGCATGATGACGCATGTCACATCAGTGTCACCGCGTGAACATGTCAGGAATGTCGCGTCGAAGATGATTGCGTAGTGATGGAAATCGCTAGACAGACGATGTCTGTCCTGGAGGTGCCACAATTATTTATAATTTGAGGTAGATCCGTGCATCATGGTGGATCTGCCAGGATTATGTGGAGATGACCTTCATATTTACACACACATATATATATAGATATGTGTACTATACACAATTTACGTACTCGTACATCTGGGTATATATTTATGGATATACGTACTATATATACATTACATATATTTCTATGAACTTTACATGCATATAAGATACGTAGAACGTGTTTCGGAGACCTCTAAAGTTCACCCTATAGACATGAGTGAATTGGTTTTGCACATGGCACAGTCTCGGCTGGTTCAGGCTGAAGAAACTATGGCAAAGACGAGAGCGGAAGTAGCAGAGGTGGGGCCAGAGAATCGGGCGCAAAATCCCCTGCGGAATCTACGCGGTTCTACAACAATTAAGCATACCCCATCAACCCCAGTAAATGTCCATGAGATTGTATACCCATTAATAACATTCAATAACAATATACCAATCAATATATACCATATATTATATATCTATATACTATGTACCAATGAATAATTTCTCACAGTCTTGGCCTTAGATGCTGAAGTATTTTTCTCAGGAGCTGTCGGAAGCAGTGCAGGGAGAGGACGACAGCTGTGCGTTAAACACGGTGGTTTCACAGGGCATGATGGTAACCCATGGTAACCCAAGGTAACCCATGGTAACCCATGGTAACCCATGATAACCCGACGAGGCATCACTCTTGTGGTGAAGTTCGACGTTTTTTATTTTTCCAAGACCAGGTACAAACATTGCCAACAAATGGAGCACCAAAAATCATCAGAAATCTGTCCAGACTCCATCCCCAAGCTGTGGATTGATCCCCAAATACACCGGCTAATGTGGTGATCGAAGGATCAGCGACGTATGCTGGCAGCAATCACGGCTGCAGATGCGGCAGGCTTCACATGTTCTGAGGCGCCTTTCTGGACATGGGATATGGTGGGATGTGGTGGGATGTGGTGGGATATGGTGGGATATGGTGGGATATGGATCAGAATTGGGGCAGATGAAACCAATTTGAAGCCACACATTTCATCACGTTTGGTGGCATTAGGTTTTCGTCAGTGTTCAGCAGATTTATGCATCACTCTGTGAGTGACAATCTTTTTCACTGATGCCCCATCCAACTTGGACATTTTGCCAAGCAGGTGGCATTCGCCAGAGAGCGCCTCAGACGTTTGAGGGCCCGAGTTGGTGCCAGCCTTGGTGAATGCCAGCCATGGTCAACGCACACCCAGTCCGGCGCCAGCAGGTGCAGGGCAGGAGCTCCAAGAAGCTGCACATTCAGCAGACATGTACAGGCACTGCTGGTACTGCTGGCACTGCTGGCACCGCTGGGAGCACGGTGCATCTGAAGCAACTTTGGGAGACTGACAACCTGGTCTTCATAGGAAGTTAGAGAAGAGGTGTACGGAGGCTGTTTCAACATGCTTTAGCATGGAATGGAAATTCTACTCAGTCTGGTCATCAACATTGGAGGTGGCTTTATGTCGCGGAACCCCCATACTGTCTTGGCTCAAGGAGCTGGTTGTGGATTAAGGACCCATGAACGTTCGAGACAGTTGTCCCTGAGTCAAATAGTACAGTCATTAGTCACAGCAATCATTAAGGCCTGTCACTCCTCGCAACCTTGACGATTGCAGGGTCAAGAACATTGAAGTCACCCGCATTCACCTCAGACATATCATTTATCAGCAAATGCCAGCATTTGCCCATTACCTTTTAGTGTATAACATTTAAAAACAGCATTTATAATTTATCGTTTCCCCCGGTTTCTTTGGTCCTTTGTGCTGGCTGGGGATTCGAAAAACGGGATGCGGAGCTAGTGCCTGCAAAGAGATGCCTTCGGGTGTGAGAGGCTGGTGGCAGTGTGTTGATTCACTGGATGAATTTGAAAAACCAAATGCCGGATTGCGGAGTTGTTTCCCGCCAATCCAATGGACAAACATCCAGGGATTTGGTTTCCGCTAACATGCCCGTGAAACCAATTCTAGATGATTGGTTCATGATTGGTTGAAGTTGTGTTGACAGATTTTGTTGCCTCTTTATGAAACAAAGATGGGAAGGATGCAGGCACATTTTTGTACTCTTCTGCTTCCTTTTGGAAAGCCATGACCTGACAGGAAGTTCTCTACATTTTTTTCAGCTGATGGCGCTTCTGCTCCAGCTTGAGGCACTGCCTTTGGCCGAGGAGACTTGCGCTCCTTGGTGGGGGACCAGCGACATTTTCAGAGCACATTATCAAATAAACTTCAGGGTTTAGGGTTTATTATATATTCCGGGGTTGACACTACACACTATACACACACACAATAATTTTTGAAGCCTGCTCAATCCATGCTGCTGAAGGAGTATCACGGTGTTGAGGAGCACAGATGGCCAGGCGGTGATAATCGTGTTTCACCTTTTCTTTTCAAGAATTCATTTTTGCAGCGAATCACCGATTCATTTTTTACCATAGTGATGCAGTGAAATGCTGGATCCTCTGAAGGTGCTTCGAGCAGGCAACTAGAAGATCCTGATGGAAGTCCAGGCATCCAATCAGATTTCATTGGACAAAGGTGGCAGCCTCAAAGTGCAGATATGTCGCGGTATGCCTGCAAGTGTGAGTTGGACAGGTATACCAGAATAAAAGACCTGCACCGATGGTGATATGCGGACGAAGACATAGAGACATATATACGTACGTAGATACACACACACATATATTTGTACATAATTAAATATATATATACATATATATATATATATACATATATATATATACATATATATATACATACATATTATGTATATACATATATATATATGGACACATGTATGTATATATATGTATATACATATGTGTATGTATATATTTATATACATATGTTACATATATACATAAATACATATACACATAATATATATACATACATATATACACATAATATATATATACATACATATGTACGCATTTACATTTAAATGTATATGTATATATGTATACATGTGCATATATATATATACGCGTATTTAAATGTAAGTGTACACATATATACATATAATATGCATATACATATATGTATACATATATATATGTATATACATGTCTATGTATATATTTAGGTCTTTACATGCCTATACATATGTCTATGTATGTATGTATGTATGTATATATAATATATATACAGGGGAATATATCTATCTCTCTCTACATATTTATGTATTTGTACATTGTAATATACATACATATATGCATATGTATACAGATGTATGCATATAAAGGTATACATATATAAATCTCGGTATATCTAAATGTATGTTCATATGTATATATGATTATATATATGTACATATGTATTTATGTACGTATGTATATATGTTTTTATGAACTATGTATATATGGTATTTATGCATATATGTATATATGTGCATATGTATATGTATATATATGTACATATATGACAAAATGTAATTATGTATATATGCATTTCGATAGATATGCATATGTGTATATATTTTTACATATATATATATACACATGTGTACGTGTGTATACTTGTAAATATGTAGTTCGATGATATGTATAAATATATATATATATATATATTCATGCCATATATATATATGTAAGCATGTATGTATGTATATTTACCATATATACATACATATACATACATATGTACACATACGTATACATAAGTATTTAGACAGTTCAAACTGCAATTGGATGCATGATGATTCATGCACTATACACGCACAAATTCATCCATGTCAATACTGGATGATTTGGTTTTTTGGTTTGTTTCAGTCCTGTCTAGTCTGGCATACTGCTTTAGTGGAGTATCTGATTCCAAGCTCGAAAGGCTACCACAGGAAAAATGCATCTAAGAACAGGAGATGTTCAATACATGGGCACATGAACCCGTTTTCAAACTATCCGTAGGGTATGGAATGTAGGCACACCTAACACACGCAAATATGGGTTATTTGCCAAAAACAGTTTAGGAGCGAATCACGATGGGATTGTACAAATATGTTTCCTTTCTATTCCTTTCCTGTAAATAGTCTTAGAACTTACGGCAAAACTTAATGCAGACAAGCACATCTCATAGCACTCAGGATATATTTCAGAAATGGCAATGTGCCCTGTCCTCGTGGCTCCCAGTGTTGACCTCAGAAAAAGAACAATCGATTTATCATGAATCTGAGATTTATTGATTATATAAATCTCAATTCATAGTTATTGATTATTTATTGATTTATAAATTATCATGATTTATTGTCAACCTTCAGCAACACAGATGTGCTTTGATCCGCGACAAGGCCAGTGTTAAAAGAACTCGAGTGCATCGAGGGCGCAGACGAGACCGGTTGCCTCAATTTGCTGTTGTTTTTACGATGGTTCAACATTGTTCAATCGTAAATTTCATGTCTGCATCTTCTTTCACATGTGCTTTTGTGGTTGTAGCATGCTGTAGCTTTTCGCTCTAAAAGTGAGCTTGGCAGGACAGTTGACGTGCAAGGTATATGTGACTCCACAAGCTTGAGCGTTTGGCTCCCAGCGTGTTCCAAAATTGGACCATTTGATTTGAGGCTTCACACCGAACTGCGCAGTTCCATTTTGACTGCTTTGCAATGTGCAGTTTTCAAGGTTACGGTATGTTACGGTCAAGAATACAGCATGTCTGAGATTTTGTGAAGGCGAATCCTTCACAACGATGGTAGGATCAGGTAGGATCAGACCATGATTTTGCCGCCTTGCCTCTTCCTGAATTCGAGTGCAATGACTTTGATGCGTTTGATGTCCTCTTTCGTGCACTGAGGAATGTTTGCAGCGGAGAAATGAGTCGTTGCTACCCGAGGGTTGCTTCACTATGGAGCTCTTTGGGACTACCTCGCGTGGGGCCGAGAGCGAGCTCAGCCATCTCAAATGTTGGTTGAAGATGATGCAAGTCTTTGGAGATGTTTAGAGAATGTGAAACTGATTGAATCTCATCCTTTCAATCTTTCTCCGTAATTCTTATCCTTAAAGCCTTTTGATGCCTTTTGAAAGTGTAGTGTCATGCCATTTGAGTTCCTTGTCTTATGTGTTTTCCTTGTGAACGACAATATATAGAGATATACCTGCTGCCTTTGCAGCTATTTAGTGCAGGCTTTCCTTGAGAGCACTGGCATCCAACAATAATTCTCCAATGTTTCTTACCCGTCTTACCCTTGCTGTATGGTTTTAAGAGGACTGACAGAGCTTCCACGACTCGCGGGTCCAAGGCTGGTGTTCAATCCTGGAGGAGCCGGCTTCTGTCGGTGTTGAAATATGTTGAATTTCATGCAAACAATGTTGAAATATGTTGAAATATAGTGTGTTCACGCAGATAATCTTTGATGCAAAATTGGTTCCGAAGCGGCGAAGCTTGCACACATTCAAGCTGCTGGGAATCCATGACTACCAACCGCACCAGTGAGCGTAGAGTCTTCGACTCCAAACCCACGAGTGTTGAGGATCCGTCACGTCTTGTGAAGCACCGACATTCTGCGACATCATTTGCGTGCAGCTTCGGCTGAATATGCCAAGTTTGCGGTGAGTTGGAGTTGCAAGCAGTCCGTTGCACTGGATATGGGAATCAACACCAATTAAATCATGATAAATCATGATAATGTCAATGACAATCGTATGAACTCATATTCCCTATAAAATCCATACTATTATTGGGTGGATGAACATCCATTCACCAGCAATTTTGATCACCAAGGAAATTGCCACCTGGCCTTGTCACCACACATCCGGACCTCACCTTAGTGCCAGCACTGGGAGTAGGCCACCCATAGGCCACTTTCAGAACTCAGAATGACACAGCACACATAGACCATAGATATTTTATGTATACAAGATATATATTATCCAATATGATACATAGTGTATTGTATAAACATAATTAACTGTATATATATATTATAAATATACATAAGGGGCAAAGGGTTCAGGAGCAGTTCACTTGTAGAGATATGTCAACATTGTCTTCTGATGTCGCTCTAGTGAGACAGGAAGTCTCTACAAGCTGTGACTCAGCGACGCTTTTTGCCGATCTTATGAATCTGCTTGTGGCACAGCGAGGCCACTTCTACCACCTCTACGTCTGTCATGACTACAACATCGCAGTCGTGGACCTTCACGAGAAGTATGACCAGCTCAACGCTCACCCAAACATCCACAACCACGACAAGTCATACAAGCAGTGATACAAAATCGCTCTCAACCACAAGTTCCACTAGGAGCTCGATCACAAGGACAATTACAACCACAGAAACCACTTCTACTTCCAGTACCTTCTCTGACACCAGCAGTACTTCCGCGATGGAAATGCTCCATAACAACAGCAATTTTACTTTCAACGAGAGTCAGACCTCTACCACTGAGTTCGTGCTGAGGAGCTTAATAGACAGTGAAGAGAGTGATGCTTCGCCTGACAGTGATGAAAGTGATCCTGCAGATGAAAGCGATGCTATGTCCATGAGAGACAATAGTAAAGCCGACACCAGCAAAGGCTCACCATCTTTGTCTAGAGGGCTCACTGCCGTGGGGAACTCCGATTTTACCAGCGGCTTTGCGTCACCCACTTCACTGGTCAACTTTGTCAATCTTCGTGGAGCCATCGCAGAATTGCGTGGATGATGCCAATGCCAAGGCCTTGGAAAGTGGCTGTTGTGTTTCACCTGTGTAGTTGCCATGCTCTATCTTCATCGATCGAACCGTTGAACCGTTGGGATGCTGTGAAAGATTCACCTGAGGTCTCGAACTCTAAGACCACACAATACAATCTGCCGAAATGCAGGCGTTGCGGGCGGTTCTTCCATGTCATGAAGAGACAGGAGTTGTGGGCGGAATCTGATGAGCAGCCGGATATTTTGGGGAAATTTTTGATTGGATTTTCATCCTCACATGCGTTTTGTATCGTTTTGTCTTATGTGTCAGGTTGATTTCAAGCACAGAATGCCTGACTGAAGTGCGGATTCTCAATGACGGCCCAGTGGAACTAGGTGGAAAGATTTGTGAATGTTCAGCCTAGACACCTTGAATTTATTGTTTTGCTCTGGCTTTCTACAAGACTTTAGGAAATCAAGTGACACACATTCCTTGCGCCATTGTGTTTGTTTGCTGGCGTTGTGCAAAGGAATTTAGTGGAGCTCTCTTTGTTCTAGACTTACCACGCAGCAGAAAACCAACTGACATATCCCTTACCACATCAGGCCCCTCGATTTTCTATATTTTTCTATCATTTTGGGTGTGGCGGTGTGGCTGCCCTGCATTGACAGCCATTTTTTGGTTGCAGTAGCCGGTATAGCTACAATCCATCCCCCAATCCTCCATCTCCCCAAGCCTGGTGGCGGACCACTGGTAAACTCAGGTCATCTCAGGTGGTAGTTTTCCTTTGTCGTCTTTGTCTCATCCAAGTCTGACTTGGGTGGTTTACCCATCGACCTGCTGCGCCTGCGTGATGCATGTCTGTCAAATGGTCGTGAAACTTCCCAAATTAAAGCCTGAAAAAGGGCGTGTGGCATGAAGTAGACAAGTTCATATCGATCTTTTGGCTGCAATGGCGGTACAAACAAAAGATGCATGTGGAATGTACAGAAAGATGTCCCAATTCAGCTGTTTCAGACCTAGACTGCGAGCAAGCAGTTCTGAAAAAAAAGCTGGTTCTGTCTCCGTCCTTCTGGGACCACTGATCGCATGCACTGGTCATGTTTGCACCGCAAGGATTCCATCGCATCGCAGGCTTCGTGCGGCACTCACGACTGCCAAAAGAGCAGAGGTCTCCGAGGCTGAGATTGCAAGTTTGGACCTCGGTGATTTGGCAGTGCTTTACGTTGTTGATTTTCATTAATAGTCTTTTGAGGTCTTTGGATTGTGGAACATATTATATAATGTTTAATATTATATAATATGGAATGATATTATGAAGTTCATATTGCCACTGAACACCGGCTTTTCTTTTGAGTTCTGGTATGTTCGCGTTGGAGCGTGTGGCAATCCTGTTTTTGGGGTTGCGACATGACGCTCGGAACGCACCGGTCTTGCTTTACCAATTTGGCTCCAACGGAGCTAAACAGGGGCTGTTGCACCAAATCTCGCCCGACAGCACAGGTGGTCGCGAAGCGTTGCGATGCTTGGAGTTGCAGGCGGATTCCGATGGCGGATGGCGGATTCCATGTCTTCAAATATGCAAAGATGATCCATGCTATCCCGGAAGACCATGGAAGATCTAGAATAGTAAAGACAGAGCAATGCATCAGCATATATCAACATGATACAGGTTGCTTGATCATGGAACATTTGCACCTCAGCCTTGGACGTATGCAGGCAGATGTGAGAAGAAGTATCGAGGCTCCTATTTGGCTGTGACTGAAAATGGATGAACATGGGGTATACCCATATATATATACTTATATATATATATATATCCATAATTCATTGCGTTTTAAAGAAAGATTCAGCAGTGGCTTTTGGGCTTTTCCCATCATTCTCTTGTTGACCGAAGGCAGCCGTTTTGGCGAAAGATGCGGAGCTTCTCAGGCGTCTCGTCTCAGCAGCTTCGTTGACTCCGAGAATGTCAGGGGGTACCTACCATGGGGGTACCTTTGAATCATGCTTAGGACTTTCCATTATAAACCATCCACCTATATATTGGGGCATCCCCATTTTAGGAAACCTCAAATTTTAGTGATTTTTGGAGAGTACCCTGCGATTCGTGGTTTATGCCAGTTATACCTGTTGATTTTGGGCCAAGATCAGAGTTCGATAGTTTTTCCCCACCAACTTACGTCCTCAGGCGATGTATTGACGAGGGCAAGAAGTCTGGCATGAACCGTCAGGAGGTGGATGGTTCTGAGGGAGACATGCTGAAGATTAACTGAATTCCATGGATTTCCCTGTTTTTCTTCTTTTTTAAAAATCACATTTTATCGATTTCTATTCTGACTCGGCTCGGCAAGTTGTGAACCTGCTGACCTTTCCACATTTCTTCCAGATCCCAAGATCTTCCCAACAACAATCAGTCACAGAATTCGATGATTTTGATGGTAAAAACCATGGGTTTCCGAAGTTTAGATTTTCGCTTAAATCAATCCATTGAATCAGGTGGCAAAAGCTCAGAAGCAGTTGCACAAGCTCCACCAGTCATCAGTGGGTCGTGAGCTCTCGGAGGTACCAACATCGACATACCCACGGTTTTTACAGAATTTGTGGGGAAGGGAAAACCACCGGTCTTTTGAATGTTTTAGGGGCGTTTGTACATATTACATATGTTTACGCATAAATAATATTGACATATATAATCATATATATATATTATGATTATCATACTATAGATGTCATGTTCATTCATTTTCAAAATTTTCAATGGGAAACCATGGTAAACTGGTAAACTATGATAGATAATGAGAAATTCTCCCAGAGCTATCGAAGATCAGGCCTTGAAGACTGGAGAGACCGTGCGGCTCCGAGCCAGAGATGCAACAGACCAGAGCTTAGCGCGCAGAGTTTTACCAGGGAAATTCCATGTTAGCTTATATGATATATATATATGTACGTATATATATATATATATATATATTCGTGTATATATATATATGTATATCAGGAATATGTATATCATTCATGCTATATGGAGGTTTCCAAAGTCATGGGGTACCCCCAAATCATCCACGTCATGGATGAGCATTTTAGATCATGGTGACTTGGGGATCCCCCCAATTGCAAGAACCTTCCATATTTTGCTGTTAACAATCAAAGGGACTTGAGATTCCACGTTTTTTTTAATTTTTATTTGATATTCCTCTATGTAGATTAAAACATATCAAGATATCTTAAGATATATTCAGATATATTGAGATATTTTAACAAACAATCTTGTCAAACCCACTCACTGTTTTTGGCATGGAGTGCATCTCCAAGTCCCCAATCTCGCTGGGCTTTGCGACCGCGTTTCCTACTTCTCCTGCCAAGCAGGCGTGGCGGCTTGGCAGATTTGCAGCACAGATGTGATTTCCATTGCTACCCACAGTGCCCACAGTGCCCGCAGTGGCTGCAGTGGCTGTAGTGGCTGCAGGCGTTTGGGACGCACTGGACCAACAGCTGAAAGATGAGATGTTGCGCTGCCAATGTTTCAATTCAATGAACCACTGGCACGGACTGGTTTCCATTCGTTTTTGAACCAATGGCCTCCAGCAGTCTTTAGTTTCTCTAGTTTCTTTAGTTTATTAAATTTTTGGCCCACTGCCAGTGACCAGTTAGTGTCAGCTCCAAACTCGGCTAATTCGACCACAAAAGAGCGGCGCTGCAGCAGTTCATGATGCACATTTCTCCTGTTCTGTGCATGAACTTGCAGTCCAAAGCTATGCACTTTATAAACATGAAACCTCATGGAAAGATATGGAAAACTGCACTGCAATCTTTCTTATCGGCTTCGGGGGATGTGGAACGAGAATAGGATGTATGCCAACGTGCAAGCAGAGGACTCAGCTCCAATCCACTGCATCAGTATATTTGGCTTTGTCTGAAAATTGAATATGCCCAACTGATCCATGAGTTACATACATATTATATATCATTTTCCCATAATTATTTTCCCAATAGAACATAGCCATAATAAACGCAGCGTATACCCCAACTTCAGCCACCCATTTGGGATCAGAGTCGAAACTTGGCCCGCTGAAGGCACTTTTGTGCTGCTCGATGGCTGCACAGAACCGCTAGTTTAAAGCTGAGCCTGTGCCATGTTTGGTTTCGCACGAGAATATCCTGCAATATCCTCTAGATACAGTTCTCCCGGAACTTGACCACAATCATTCAATAGATCCCCCTAGCATTCTTTGGTTATTTCAGTTCTGTACATTTGATATGTACCAGCGCCGTCCAGACCAAGGTTGAAGGGTCAAGCTGGTCTTCAAGAGTCAGCTGTGAAGTGAGGGGAACAACTCCCTCCAGCGAGAAAACTCAGGATGGAAAAGACCATTGGGTACAACACAGTTGAGAGCCGTGTCACTGTTACCCTCACAGGATCCCAAAGGGTCTCAGACACTCTTATCTTCGGCAACAAATTGTAGATCTGCTACATTGAACCTTTGGTCCAGCTCTGACTTTAGAATCTTTGGAGCCTCAGGCCACCTTTTTAAGCTCATCGCCACAATGGGTGGTCCGGCCTGTTTACAGGTATTTCATGATATTTCATGTATATTTCATGTCACGAAAGGTAGCGTCAGCTACCTGAGTTCTCCGTGCTTCAGCACAATCATAGGGGGTATTGGGGGGCCAGCCCGTGGAAAACGTAGAATTCTCGATGTTATGTATTAGATATCAATTATATGGCCCCCCCCCTCTAAAATGGTAATGGGTTCAATTCCCACGGGTGACGCGGTCACGGTCCGCCACAGTAGAGGCACACTCTCCATGAGGGAGATGTCCCTGTAGTCCAGCATAATTGGTTTGCTTCAGCCTCAATAACAGTTGCTGCAAGGGGTCTTAAAAAGGGGTTTAAAATAAACCCCTTTTCGTGCATCATTTCACGCTGCACAAGACACCGTATCATGCAGTCATGCTCTGGATAAAATCATCTTAGACTGCGCAAAAACGTTTTTGGTGTATCATCTTAGGGGCGCAGCATTTTGACACCACTCCTCTCCCACTACATTACCTTTCGTCCGCCTCCGCCTGCTCTCAAGTATTTCATAGCCTGAGACTGGGAATAAACATATTGAGTACTTGTTTGGATTCCAGATGTCCCATGACAGGATGCTGCTGCTTTCGTTCATCTCTTCCCCCTTTACAACCTGAACAGCCACTAGACCACAGAGTTTGCGGCCTAGAAATGCAGCAGTCTGTGGAAGATCGTAGATTGTAAATGAGCTGCATCCAAAAGGAGAATCCACTTAGCCACTTTTGCCTACAAGGTCTACGCTGAAAACTACACACGTGGATGGCTCAAGTTGGAGGGAATGCCGTTGACTGTGCCACAATGTGTACAGCGGATTTTCAGTGTGAACGGGAACTTCCATTTCCAGCGTTTGCTCGTGACATCTTGTGATATCTAAGGACAGGATCGCTCAACATTGTGGGAAAACCTTGTGAAGGAAGGTGGTGGCAGCCTCAAATTCAGCGCAATAGCCGTGACAGTGACTGTGCATCAGAACCTAGTCCATGGCAATGCAATGCGACTTGAAGACAGATAGTGTCAGGAGATGTTCACAAGACTTTGAGCAGTTGACGCTGAATCATACAGCACGGTCATGTCAAGATGAAACCGATTTTTCCTTGAGCTCCTTCTTGAGGAAGTGAGATCATCCGTTTTAATAGAGTGGAGGACTGCGCAGCAAGCTTCACAAATTGCTGTAATTTTTGAATTTTGCAATCAGTTGGATTTGGCTTTTCATGGCCATATGGAGGACATTCGCACGTATGACCCTGGGACACCTGATCCCTCTCAAATTGGCGAAGCAGCCTCAGCAAACGATCCAGTTGTAGTTTCAATATGTTGCAATGTCGCTGATTGTCGCTGCTTGTCCGATTGCAGGTGCTCATCCTCACAGAGTTGTTCTTGTTCGCTTCCCAGAATTTGGAGCAGCGAAACCCAAAAAAGTGAGAAATTGGGTGCTTTGTATGGGCAAATTCTACTGTATGGGGAAACGAAGGCCACCAGATGGCTTTCAGCCACAGCAAAGCATCTTTCCAGGTGGTGGCATTCGACGCCCCCCACATCAAGCACAAGTGATGCAGTCTCGACACACACAAAGCCCTCAAAGAGGTCTAGGACAGAATGAGCTTCATGAACCAGCGCGTGTGGCAAACGCATGAATACTTGTAACGCGGATGCTCGATTGGTATGGATTGAATTGAATCTTCCAAACATACACCTGAGACCAAGAAGGAATGGACACAGCATCACTGTACATGCTACAGCATGCTGCTAAGTATTCACTCTTTCTTTGAACCTGCTCTTGTGGCAGGATAAGAGGTGGAAGCTCTTTCGTAATTGGCTATGACATGATAGAGGAGGCATCTGAAAATTCCAACGGCTGATGGTCAGGTCAGAAGTCTCTAGGGATAATGTGGAACGAATATCTTGCAGTCTCTAAAGGTCAAAATTCAATGGCCAAGAACTCGCAGAGCTTGCCTATTTTTACTAGCAAAGTGTTGCAAATCATTCGTTCCATTATTGGGCACCCAATTTTGTCCTACATCCAATTGTAAACAGCACTGGTAAAGTTGAGACGGATGATGTTTAATTGTAGACAGTAGACAATACTGGCCAAGAACACACACCGAGACCCACAGGGGCAGTCAAGCAAACATATGTATGCTCGTAGCATCTTCGTCTTCATGACGAACCAACAAAAATGTGACCACGGATCCCGGTTCACAGGTGGGCATCGTTTGCTTTGATGCCGGTGGATGTGCTGTACGCGTTCTTGCGCGTGAGGCTTGTGGCATCACATAGCATCACATAGGATCACATAGGACCAAATAGCATCAGGATCATCGAGTAGCATCTTGGCATTTGCAATGATGGCCATTTTTGGGTGTAGCTGCTGGCAGAGCCTTTTGACCTTGATAGGTCATGACAAGTCATTGGCACGTCGTTGGCCTTTCGACAGGTCTACGGAGAGCCCATTGAGGTGATTTTCCGAGTCCTTGAGCCTGCGGAGACCCTTCCTGCCTTCACTACTACGATTCCAGAGGAGGAGGAGTGAAGCTGAGTAATTATAGCTGAGTGAAGATGGGGGAAAACTTGAACTGTCCATGCACTCACTGGAGTAGGCCAACATCTTCCGTTCTTGTAACTTGGTTTCGCTTGATGTGACTTGTAGTGCCTGGACCTACAGGAGGGTGGGGCAGAAGGCAGCGAAGCTTGGCATCAGGCGGGTTTTTCACAGCGGCTTCTCAAATCCAATCGCATGGAATGAGATTTTCCTATATTTTCCATGATTCCCCAGGTTCCTTCCATATTCTGTGATTTCCATGGTGATGTTTCATCATGTTCCTGATGTGTTGAGATGTTTACTGGGGAGTTTCCTGGCCCGATCGCCCAGACCCTGGCTGGCGCCTTGGATCGAGTGCTTAAAGCCTGAAGCTCGATCTTTGTGCAGAGTGCACCAGAGCTAGAAGTGATGACCCTGAGCGGCACGCACACACACACACATTCTGCATATTTATGAATAATTATGTATCATGAATGATACATGATAATATAATGTCATATGTATATATATATATATTATAAATATATGAGATATGCATGTATACATATATAATATTTTATGTATATGTGCATATCTGCAAGGTATCTGCGAAAGTCTTGACCTCTCTTGGTTCCCTATGCAGATACCTAGATATTGCTACCTTTTGTGCGAACAGTTGAGGCATACAACTGGGCGCACTATTTTCTTCACTGCGGGCTGCGGCAGTCGCTGCCTCCAAGCTCTATGGGATCCATGGAATGATCTCTGCGATCGCACGGAATAGATCAATGTCGTTTCATCATGTTTCGCCATATGCATCAGCCCATCATGTGCCCTGGGTATATCTTGATCTTGGTCTTCACTGATTTCCTTCCCTTTTCATCCCTTTTCTATTTCTAATTGTGAGGGATTCTGAATTTGCGCAGCTGATTTGGTGCAGTCTTGATTTGGATCAGGCACGACTTATTTGAGCATCGTGGGGTTGACCGACCCCAGCTTTCACTTCTTCCGAATGAGGAGGCCGATGGGGTTTGGTGGACAGAGGCCTAGCAACATTTAGAGACAACAATGGTGCTCGCTCTATCTACCCTTTCCTCAATTTGTTTCTACATTTTTTTCCGAAAATATGCCTTTTAGATTTTAGAGTAGACAAGATAGACAAGCAGCTTGGCATCAAGAGCTCATGAAGGTAGACATGTGATATGCCTTTCAAGTCAGTAAGGTTCAATCTTTGTGTTTGGTCATTAAATGGACTCCACAGATGACTCCACGCATGATTGTAGTTTTCCCGTATCTCGCTTCAGGTAACACAGACCTTCAATGAGATCCTGAATTTCGGAGCATCTCAAGAGGCCATTTTCAATGCCTGTCTGGCTGAGCTTGGGATCAATTGGATCGATTGGATCGCCAGGACCTGGTTGGGAGCCTCATAATCACAAACTGCCGAGTCGTCCACACCTTACAGGAATTGCTGCGACAGACCGGATGCCGTGGACATCCGACCGGATACTGTCTCCAGGTTTGGGCGTTAGATCGGGATAGAACTACCTACAACGTCAGCGTGCCTCACAGGGCACATGTCGCAGCCTTACTGAGCTTTCACTGGACTTGTCAGCTGAGATTGTGTGGACACTTTTTTGTTCCACAAGGACACGTAAAGTGCTCATACATGTCCAACGGGCTGCAACAAGAAAAGCTGCAAAAGACAATCGAAACGCAGAGAGGGGGAAGCACAGGAAGAGAAGACATCGAATTGGGACCAGAAAAGGTTTTTGGCAACCCGTGAAACTTGCCTAGTTGAACTGTTTTGCCAACAATGGTCGACAGCGATTGGATAAGGTTCCCTCTTTGACAGACACGCAGACTTTTGGGCCCCAGCCTCAGACTTTTGTTGGGCTGAGCATAAACTACAATAAGCTAGCTACCAAGAGAAGTTTCAGAGAATCGTTCGGACTATGTTATAGCTGTTATGGATCCGAGGTTATGCCTGGTACTACATATCCCGCAGCCCTTCCTTTGCAATCCAGATCACTTTGGGGGAATGCGCTTGGGCTTTGGAGCTGCGGGCCTTAAGGCCGCCCGAAAGTCTCCCAGATGACACAGTTTGCGTCACATCTGATGTGCCGATGCTTCCAGGGCCCTGAGCGGAAAGATAGACTGGAGTCCATCCTTGCACACATCAAGGAGCAGCAAGGTGGAATGTATGATCTTGTAGTGATGGATCGAAAACTCTTGATTGATACTGGATGCTTCATGATTTAAACTGATTTGAGTAGATTTTAATCTTATCGAACCCTTGAAATTTGCCAGGTAAATTCATGGCACAGCCGAAGTGACCCACCTGGAAGACATGGACACCTCAACATGTCCACACACTGGATGTCTTCAGGTACGGGGTTGCAGACTACATGCGAAACCACCGTCAATATCAGGCCTTCTGCTGTTTCATCTGTTTCCTGCTTGCTTGACTGCAAATTCTTTGGCAACTGTGGCTACACAGTGGACATCATACGGGTAATTCGAGCTTGACAAGCCTGTCATGGCTGTTCTCAGCTGGGATTTGTTGCGGCTTGGCTCGGTTTGAGAGCTTTTAGGTCGAGTCCAATGTGCGCTTGCTGCATGTTGGGCAGCTCAGGGACACCAAGATGGACATCCCGAAATCCCGCAAAGCTGCCTTAGCTAGTCATTGAACATGGAGCAAGCGGGTGATTCGTAAGACCCATAATAATCCATAATATAAATATATATATATATAGAATGGGCTAGCGCCCAGGTGCCGCCGACCCCCCTAATTGGAGGGGGGGTACTGCAGAGAGAGAGAGGGAGACGGACAGCAAGACAGACATATGGCCGTTTGCTTCTCAAGCAGCGAGAAGTTGCAGCCTGCGGCCAAATGGACACGGATCAGCTCGAACTCCGCCAGGCGCGCAAGGGTGAGGCAGTGGCTGTGTTGGCTACCTGACAGCTTGTGGATGATTAATCATTTTATGATGAGGGGTCATCAAGAGGCCCTTATAGCCATAGGTGGCTTGTGCATGCGGGAGTGGCGCGTGTTGGGCTTGTTGGGGTACCTTGTCCCTGCGGAGCTGGGCGGACGTTTGGAGGGTGTGGAGCGCTTGAGGCCTGGCAAACGTGGGGTGCCCTTGAGCCATTGCTGTGGCCTTGTGGTGGTTTTTGCGTGCGGGAGTGGCGCGTGGTGGGCTTGTTGGGGTACCTTTGCCCTGCGGAGCTGGGCGGACTGTTGGAGCGTTTGGAGGGTTTGAGGCTTGGCAAACGGCAGCCTTGAAAGCCTATAAGAAGCCATTGCTGCGGCCGGGGGGTGCCCTTCAGCCATTGCTGTGGCCTTGTGGTGGCTGTTGCCTGCGGGCGTGGCGCGTGTTGAGCTTGTTGGGGTACCTTTGCCTGCGGAGTTGGGCGGACTTTTGGAGGATTTGGAGGGTTTGGAGCGTTTGAGGCCTGGCAAACGGCAGCCTTAAACGCCTATAAGCAGCCATTGCTGCGGCCGTGGGGTGCCCTTGAGCCATTGCTGTGGCCTTGTGGTGGCTTTTGCCTGCGGGCGTGGCGCGTGTTGGGCTTGTTGGGGTACCTTTTCCCTGCGGAGTTGGGCAAACTTTTGGAGGAGGTGGAAGGTTTGGAGGGTTTGAGGCCTCGCAAACGGCAGCCTTGAACGCCTAGAAAATAGGCCATTGCTGCAGCCGTGGGGTGCTCTTGAGCCATTGCTGTGGCCTTGTGGTGGCTTTTGCCTGCAGCGTTGGGCGTGGCAAGGAGTGGCGAGTGTTGGGCTTGTTGGGGTACCTTTTCCCTGCGGAGCTGGGCGGACTTTTGGAGCGTTTGGAGGGTTTGAGGCCTGGCAAACGGCAGCCTTGAACGCCTATAAGAAGCCATTGCTGCGGCCGGGGGGTGCCCTTCAGCCATTGCTGTGGCCTTGTGGTGGCTTGTGCGTGCGGGAGTGGCGCGTGTTGGGCTTGTTGGGGTACCTTGTCCCTGCGGAGCTGGGGGGACTTTTGGAGGGTTTGGAGCGCTTGAGGCCTGGCAAACGGCAGGCCCTTATAGCCATTGCTGTGGCCGGGGGGTGCCCTTCAGCCATTGCTGTGGCCTTGTGGTGGCTTTTGCGTGCCGTGCGGGCAAACGGCAGCCTTGAACGCCTATAAGGGGCCCTTATAGCCATTGCTGCGGCCGTGGGGTGCTCTTGAGCCATTGCTGTGGCCTTGTGGTGGCTTTTGCCTGCAGCGTTGGGCGTGGCAAGGAGTGGCGCGTGTTGGGCTTGTTGGGGTACCTTTTCCCTGCGGAGCTGGGCGGACTTTTGGAGCGTTTGGAGGGTTTGGGGCCTGGCAAACGGCAGCCTTGAACGCCTATAAGAAGCCATTGCTGCGGCCGGGGGGTGCCCTTCAGCCATGGCTGTGGCCTTGTGGTGGCTTGTGCGTGCGGGAGTGGCGCGTGTTGGGCTTGTTGGGGTACCTTTTCCCTGCGGAGCTGGGCGGACTTTTGGAGCGCTTGGAGGGTTTGAGGCCTGGCAAACGGCAGCCTTGAACGCCTATAAGAAGCCATTGCTGCGGCCGGGGGCTGCCCTTCAGCCATTGCTGTGGCCTTTGGGTGGCTTGTGCGTGCGTGTTGGGCTTGTTGGGGTACCTTTTCCCTGCGGAGCTGGGCGGACTTTTGGAGCGTTTGGAGGGTTTGAGGCCTGGCAAACGGCAGCCTTGAACGCCTATAAGAAGCCATTGCTGCGGCCGTGGGGTGCCCTTCAGCCATGGCTGTGGCCTTGTGGTGGCTTGTGCGTGCGGGAGTGGCGCGTGTTGGGCTTGTTGGGGTACCTTTTCCCTGCGGAGCTGGGCGGACTTTTGGAGCGTTTGGAGGGTTTGAGGCCTCACAAACGGCAGCCTTGAACGCCTATAAGAAGCCATTGCTGCGGCCGGGGGCTGCCCTTCAGCCATTGCTGTGGCCTTTGTGTGGCTTGTGCGTGCGGGAGTGGCGCGTGTTGGGCTTGTTGGGGTACCTTGTCCCTGCGGAGATGGGCGGACTTTTGGAGGGTTTGAGGCGTGGCAAACGGCAGCCTTGAACGCCTATAAGAGGCCCTTATAGCCATGGCTGCGGCCGGGGGGTGCCCTTCAGCCATGGCTGTGGCCTTGTGGTGGCTTGTGCGTGCGGGAGTGGCGCGTGTTGGGCTTGTTGGGGTACCTTTTCCCTGCGGAGCTGGGCGGACTTTTGGAGCGTTTGGAGGGTTTGAGGCCTGGCAAACGGCAGACTTGAACGCCTAAATGTGGCCATTGCTGCGGCCGGGGGCTGCCCTTCAGCCATTGCTGTGGCCTTTGTGTGGCTTGTGCGTGCGGGAGTGGCGCGTGTTGGGCTTGTTGGGGTACCTTGTCCCTGCGGAGATGGGCGGACTTGTGGAGGGTTTGAGGCGTGGCAAACGGCAGCCTTGAACGCCTATAAGAGGCCCTTATAGCCATGGCTGCGGCCGGGGGGTGCCCTTCAGCCATTGCTGTGGCCTTGTGGTGGCTTTTGCGTGCGGGAGTGGCGCGTGTTGGGATTGTTGGGGTACCTTTTCCCTGCGGAGCTGGGCGGACTTTTGGAGGGTTTGGAGGGTTTGAGGCCTGGCAAACGGCAGACTTGAACGCCTAAATGTGGCCATTGCTGCGGCCGGGGGGTGCCCTTGAGCCATTGCTGTGGCCTTGTGGTGGCTGTTGCCTGCGGGCGTGGCGCGTGTTCAGCTTGTTGGGGTACCTTTTGCCTGCGGAGTTGTACGGACTTGTGGAGGATTTGGCGGGTTTGGAGCGGGCAAACGGCAGCCTTAAATGCCTATAAGCAGCCATTGCTGCGACCGTGGGGTGCCCTTGAGCCATTGCTGTGGCCTTGTGGTGGCTTTTGCCTGCGGGCGTGGCGCGTGTTGGGCTTGTTGGGGTACCGTTTCCCTGCGGAGTTGGGCAACCTTTGGAGGAGTTGGAAGGTTTGGAGGGTTTGAGGCCTGGCAAACGGCAGCCTTGAACGCCTAGAAAAGAAGCCATTGCTGCGGCCGTGGGGTGCTCTTGAGCCATTGCTGTGGCCATGTGGTGGCTTTTGCCTGCAGCGTTGGGCGTGGCAAGGGTTCAAGAAAGACAGGATCCACACCTCCGGTGGTCCCAGGCGCCGCCCGGCCTTGGCGAAGGCCGGGGTCGGCGGATATATATATATATATTATGTATATTATATATATATATATATGTATATATATATATAGATGTTTGCCCATGTTATCCCATGTCATAGATTCCAGACCACTCCGATGTTCGAGTGATTGCTGGAGGCCCTGAGCCACCTGGACATTCTGAGTGAGAAGACTCGGTCAGGAGCATATCACAACGCATTTTTCAAACTCTTCAGTTGGAAAACGTTTGGAAGATAGGCACACAATTCTTCTTGTCAATTATAATATATAATACATACATAATGTCATTATATATATAAACATACATACACATAATAACATGTATATATATATATATGTACATATACATTATATATATATATATATTATATCTATACACGTGTACATAAGTGTACGTTATTTTTTTGTGTGTTTGTTGCTGTAGGGCTGCATAATTTGTCTCACGGTTCCTCGCCCCAGGCCAGACATGCAGGAAGCAAACTTGGAAGGGGAAGTCAGTGAGTGCGTGATTTGCCTGGAGCAGGCGTGCTGCACTGTGAGGACCTGCCACCTGTGATGGTTCCTGGTGTGGAATCTACTTCAGTTGTTTTATTTTGAGCAGCATGCACCTTAGTTCTGCAAGACATAGTTGGATGTACTTGGATGTACTTGGATATACCTGGGATATCTTTGGATCTAATGAGCTGTTTGGATCTGCGCGGGGACTGCAGGTTTGCAGTGAGTCAAGATTGGCATACTTGCTGGCGGCGGGCAAACTTGGCTGGGTGAGCCGGCCTGGATTGCCATTAGAGTGGCCTCAAATGAACTTTCATTGATGTCGCCAGGCATGCAGGCATATCTTCCACTTGGAATGTGCGCAGCAGCTGGCAACCCGTAAATGCCCAGTGTGTTTGTGCCTCAGTGGGCCCGCTGGGCCTGTGACCATCTGTGACCCTATCTGATGGCATGGCGCAGGGGCTCGGGTAGCTCAGGTCGATCCGGCTTCAGTGAAGTGCGGGAGATGCCAGACATTCGACATAGTTCGGAGCTGAGACGCGAGGTGCATGGAGACCTGAGAGCCTTTTTCTGGAACAGGTCCAATTTGCAAGTTGATGTCATCGATTCTTCCTCTTCAGGTCTACAGAACAGAACAGAACAGAACTGAACTGCTGATAATCTGTTCATATTTGTTCAACAAACATAAATATGAAGTGTTCAGATGAGTACTGTAGTCACATGTAGTCACTACCACTGATCCAACGTTGTGTTTTTCCAAGGCCCGGGAGCCTGGTTCGACGCCATGGATGTCGATCGCACTGGCGATTTGGATTTGGATGAGGCATCGCGGCACCGCTCCGTGGTTACTGGTGGTGCTTCAAACGGGGGGACTCTTAAAAATGGTTACTGACATGGGCCATCACTGCCATGGCAAATAGCAGGTCCTGGGAGCGCTGGTGCGGGACTCAGCTGAGCCGATTGGGCCGATTGGGTGGGTCCACTTGAGTGATGCCGACCCTGAGCACGGTGTGTTTACGTGTGTCTGCAATTGATGTATGATGGTGTATCAACATAGAATATCGCTTAGCAATGCTTAGCATCAATGTACAGTGGTAATGGCTATATAGACTTATGGATTTGCCAGACATTCTCCTGCCACCCTGAAGCCTGTCCAACTTAGTCCGTGGTGCTCCCAATTGACCGCGACAAGTTAGAGGCCCTTCTGAAGCCTGATGAGGCCGCTGTCCCATCCTTTCCCTCCATCTTTGCGTTGGTTGTACTTTGGAACTGTCAAGCATCTTGCATCATCTTGCTACTGGATATTACTGGATGAGTCAAGGACTTGGCATCCATATTCATTCATATTCATCCATATTCAATATCATTCAATCTGATCCAACCCAATTTGATCCGGACGCATGCTTCTTCGACACTCCTGGAGGCTCCAGCAGGGCCAGCAGAGACATCAGAATCGGTGCTGAACCAGACTGTCGCGACTGAAGGTGGCTGCGAAAGCTGTCACTCTCTGCATGTGAAGCGTGAAGCCAAAAAGCCTAGGTGACAACGGAGCATTGGTTGCAGAGGGAGGAAAATCCAAGGACGAGACGGAGGGTGTGCTCCTCCCAATATCATCCAGTTTTGTTCAGACATTTTCACACATTTTCAGTATTTGCCAATCATCAGCTGTGTCTTGCTGACTTTCTGTCAATGAAGCGTCGACCATTGTCCATTGAGGCCTTGAAGGTGCCTCCCTTGCCGGTGATGCCATCTTCAGCCCTGTGGAGGCAATGGGACAAAGCAGGCACTGGCCGCATCACCCGGCAAGCCTTCGAGGAGCTTCAAGGGCCGTGGCGATTCAACCCTTGGGAGCTTCAAGGGCCGTTTGGAAATGTATCAAGGGTGAAGCTACCTCAACCTAAGGGGGGAGGACATTAAACAAGTTAAAGCAAATAGATAAATAAATAGTAAATAAATAATTAAATAAGTAAATAAATCAATAAATCAATAAATCAATAAATAACTAACTAACTAACTAACTAACTAAATAAATAAATAAATAAATAAATAAATATATATACACACATAATTTACACATAATGTAATATAATTACACTTACGTGGTCAGATGATATCTCTTTGAATCTCATTGCGACTTGGTCTTTGCTACATCGGTGTATTGCTGTAGCAATGGAAAAAAAAACTCCGCGCAGGATCCGGAAGGAGGATTACTGGCCTTGTCCCCAGCCTCGGAGGGTGTGACTGTGGTTGAGAGTTGGATGTCCGTTGAGGTTTGGATTCTGGCCAGACTAAAGCTTTTCCATCGTGGCCAACGACCTCATCCATGACGCGATCTCAGTCCAAACAGCAGGGAGTGGCTGCTCCCCCACGGGGAAGCTAAACTTCAGTATGGTATAGGCATAGGAATGTATAGTAATTATCGTATATATAATAGTAACAGAATAGTAGTATAGGTTCACATGGGTTCACCCTGAAAAGAAACTGGTGGTGGCCACAGACGCCAGTTAACAATCGGCATTCAGGAAGCTTGGGGGGTGGCCCAAAGTCCTGGGATTTGGATGTGGTTGACTGTCATGGTTTGTCCAAAAAGAGTCGACAAGTAGGGTATCAATAGGGTATCCATGGGTATCCCCAAACCACCCAAACTGTCTATTCTATCTATTCTAGCAGGAGAAAAACCAGCACCCAATATGGGAGCACTTACATTGGACTACTTCTCTCAGACAGATCAAGAGCTTGAGGTTTGGCAGCCGCTGCGAGTTTGGAAACACTGGGCAAGTGCTGGGCCCAACACATTTCTACTGCAATGGACTCGTCGCGGCTGAAACCACTGACTTTGGTCATGTGAGGTGGTTTGACTTCTGGGACTGGAGCCAGGTGTGCATCATGCAGCTTCATTTTGATTTGGGTTTCGGCCCATCATCAATTTTCTCATGGCCCATGGCCCCATGGTTGGGATGCTGCTGAAGCTCCGCAGGTGGGATTCCTGACGCGTGGTCAGGTCACTCGTGCCATCGCGAGGGAATTCGAAGGCGGAGCGGTGAAGGAAGAAAGAGATGGGGTAAAACATGGTAAAAACCTATGGATTCAATGGGATTTAATGAGATTCAATGGATTTTAGTGGGATTTAAGATTTAACCATAATTAATTCCACACTGTTTTGGGGGCCATTTGAACATGATGGAACCAGATGTTGAAACATTTTTTTCCAGCTGAAGCGAATATGTAGCAGTGTCTGACTCCAAAAACGACGTTGATCACAGCAATGATCAGCATGTCCTGTTTGCACCATAGCTCAACCCTGTAGCATGCGCAAGGTCGACTGCCTGACCTGAAATGCTTGGATTTAGTGAAAGAGATCTGGGACAAATCCACAGAGGAAGCCCTGGCGAAGCCAGTGACTCCCCGCTCACGGGCTGGAGCCTTAGGTTGTGGAGTGGAGCTTTCAGCTGGATGGATTGAAGGGCTTTCTTGATGGAAAACCATGGTTTTATGGGCTGGTTCATGTTTTTCAATCTTTTTAGATGCTGTGCAATACTAAGCTGACATTCCCCTCTCCCTCTGTGTGAAAGTAGACATGCAACCGCAAGGTTGCGACGCCAACGCACGTTCCGGACGAAGAGCCGGAGAGCCCAAAGTCAGGACTGGATGACCAGATGTTTCTTGGATTTTCTTTCGGCTTCATTCGAAGATGTTCAAAGTCCATCCACACATTGGAGGACAAAAGAGCAAGGAACATCTTGCGAAGGCCTACGCCGATCCGTGGAACCTTAGAGAAGGCGTGACCAAAGTTGCAGCAAACAATTTGAGGTTTCAGTGATTTTGAGTGTAGGGATGTGTAGGGCTTGGAGTGCAACCCCAGTGTTCTTTTATTTGGGAGACATGATGGACATCAATGCTCCACCGGATCTCCATGACGGAGCTCTAATCTTCACAGCACGGGAAGTGCGGCGATCCAAGGGGGTGCCGCAACGCGCCATCTGTGCCATCGCCATGGCAGACTTGTCTCGATGCTATTTACATAACCTTGGCGACTCCGAACGTGCTAAGCTGGCGGACCTCCGGAGCCGTTTGCCAAAGTTGGTGGCACAGGCTCGGGAGGCGTCAGAAGATGCCAAGGCAGCAGAGAAACTCACCATTTGGGGAGTTGATTTGGAGAAGGAGAATGAAGCTTCAGACATTGTTCTTTTGAAATTCATTCGGGCAGAGGAGTTGGATGTAGATAAAGCTGCTGATCGAATTGTACAGACCTTGATTTTTCGAGCGGACTGTCAGATCGATGGATTGAAAGATGCAGAGCTCCCGAAGTGCTACCAGGGTCATGACGTGATCAGTGGCTATGATGTGGACGGAAGACCAGTGATGATCAGCCGCTTTGGAAAGATGGATCTGGAAGCTGTCTTTGGCGATGTGGAGGCCTTTGTGAGATATCGAGCCAAGCTCATGGAAGAGGCCATCGCCAAGCTGTCGTTCAAGAAAGGAGAGCCAGAGGAGTTGACACAAGTCCATGACTACTCTGGGGTGCCATTGATTTTCCAGACTTCACAGGTGAAGGGTGCTGTGTCTGCAGTCACGAAGGTCTTTGGAGAGCACTATCCAGAGACCAAGGGAGTGACGATTTTCGTGAACTTCCCAACCGCATTTGCCAAGCTCTTCAAAGCGTTTTCGGTCTTTATCCCTGAGCGGACGCTGAAGAAGTTTCAGATCTTGGGTGAAAATGATCAGGAGACGCTTTTCAAGTTCCTGCCACCAGAGACAGTCCCTGAGGCCCTGGGTGGTATGCTGGGAACTCCAGCAGGCCCAATGTCAGGGCCCTGCAAGACACTCTCAGTGAGGGCTCGCGGCAATGAAGAGATGCCATTGATCAAAGTCGCGGCAGCTTGTACCATTCAATGGGAAGTGCGTGTTTGCTACTGGGAGATCTCATATGAGCTTTACTTCTATGCAGATGGAGCCTCTGAACCTGAGCTGGTGAAAAAATCCGACGCCATGGTTCAAGCGACTGATGGAATTGTAAGTGGAGAGTATGTGGCAAAAGGGCCAGGAGAGTTGAAATGCAACTTCATCAACAATGGAGCATGGTTCAAATCGCGTTTTTGCCTTGGACGCGCTGAACAGAAGTCGTAGCTGTCGTAGCTCGGCTTCTTGGAAGCGTGGTTCGGCGCTGAGCCCAATGCAGATCCTGAGACGTTTTGCTTTTGCCCCATGTAGCTGTAAAGCAGTTCATGGACCTCCACCTTTTTGCAACTCCCATGCTCAAATGCAATGGAGCCAGTCCAACTCCTAAACTCATTTTCTGACAATACTCTCGTTTCATATCACATTTCTATAGTCAGCTGTACTTTGCAGTACCTTCAACTTTAAAGCTAATGTGGAAATCTAAGATTAGCCAAATAGCCAAATACAAAGACATGACACGTTACTCATTGCTTCTATGTTTGTGCAATTTGTGCGCGGTTTCCAGAAATGGAATCCACGGCAGCCCAGCAAGTGTAGGACACCTCAAGACCACAGATGTCTTGAAGTTGGTGATTAGACAAGTCTCTGTAGCACCACAAACTCCAAAGGAACAGCGGAGAAAACATCAAAAGTGAGGGAGGTCTTGCTGATGTTTGCCCTTTGTGCGTTGGATTCATCATCTTTCATCTTCCAGCACAGCGATGCGGGCAAGACTGTCTAACAATTTCGCACGTACGATGCTGTGCATGATTCCTCAGGTATTTGCTCCAGAGGAGACTTTCTGGAAGGAGGCCCTTTTTCAAGTCCCTGCAGTTTGGCAATGTTTTTGCATCTCCATCAACCAATGTGGGGGTTTCCTAAAATGGGGGTACTCCCAAATCATCAATTTAAACAGGATTTTCCATTGTAAACCATCCTTTTTGGGGTACCCCCATTTTGGGAAACCTCCAAGTGAAGGTCTTGGGTTTACACTGCGCTTGAAACTCCTAGAGGCCCAACACTCAGACATGACAGTAAACTATCGACAGAATTGATGAATTTGCATGCATGCGGATCAAACATATGAACCATTTTGATAATGTATATGATGTACAATACAAGTAGATGTAAGTATGACATCCATAGATCTCATCAATGTTCGCATTTGTGGATATTTGCTTGATTTTGCGGGGATTGCTTAAATGGTCCTGGGAAAATCTACGGAAAGCTGCCAGCGTCCAAATTTCTTCGTGATATTCAGGCCACGGCTGAGAGGTCTGCGGCAGGCCGCCATCGAAAGACGCAACTCGGCCCAAGTTTGCCGTGCTTCTGGATGTGGCGGATGTGGGCTTGTCATGGTTTGCCCAAAATTAGGGGATAACCTAAAAGGATCCAAAAGGGCAATTTTAGTATTACACTGTAATACTGGATGGGGAATATTATGTTCAACCATCAGATTCTAGGGAATTTACATCATTTTCCGACAACACCCTGTCTTTCAAACTCCTGCATCCGCAATGCAACAGCTTCTGGAGGGTGATACAAAGTGCCTGAAGTTGAGTGCAGCCAGGTCGAAAGAGATGCGCAACATGTTCAGCTTCGAAGAAGCTTTGGTTGGGTTCCCAAGGCTTTCCAGGGGTTCCCTTGGACTCACAACATGATCTTTCACGCGCTGTTGACCTGAGTCTTCCTGAGTCTTCTGAGGTGGTAGCAGCTGGATCAACTGGATCCACTGGAACCAGGTGGAAAGATTGAAAATTCTTGATATAACATGATATAACAGTGATATAATAGTAATATAACAGTAATATAATCATGTTATAACTATGATATAACATATGATATAACATGATATAACTCAGATACCTCAGATAACTCAGGATGCTTCAGCTCCAGGCTTTTCCAAACACTCACAGAGTGTGCTAGCAAGAAGCGTATGGCGGTGGCCCAAAGATTTGGTGATTCACTGGACAATTCACATGACACATCCATAGCACAGCTGGCACAGCCGCTAGACTCAGGGTGATCCAGAACCCTTGGTGAATGTGCGCCAGATGCTCGGATATGGCTGAATGACTAGGCGACAGTGAGAAAGAGATTGGATACATATGGAGACATGAATTTGTCACAGAGGCAGATCAAAAGGGCGCAGATGTTTGAATGATGTGCTTGCGGACAAGGCCTTTCGCAGAGTGCATTGTCAGTGGACACAAGCTGCCCCGCCCTAAGTTCTTTTTGCCTTTGAGGTCTCGCATCCTTTTACCACGTTTACCGCTGTTGACCAATGCTTTACATCATTTTACATCATTTTACATCATTTTACATCTAAATATCCTCAATTAAGAGGTGTTATCATCTCAAATACTATCCTGTCAGGTGGTATATGTGCTGCATGAGGGAGGCTAATTCCACACCCAAGCTCCCCAGCTTGCAGCAGCAAGAAGTGAGCACACCTTATCAAAGCTGCCAGTGTTTTCGATGCTGTGGGCAAAGCTGGTGGCTTGGGCAGTTCTACAGCTGGTCAGATTTTTCTGCCACATTGGGGCGTGAGCTCCGCTCTAGAAGTCCAAAATAGTGCAAGCACAGTTTGGACAACCTGTGGTAAAGCTTGGATATCAAGTTTACCAAGTGCATTTCAACTGGTACGAACAGTAGTTTTCAAACTCGCTTTCTGTGCTTGACATGTGAGAGTTGGGAAGTGCGCTCGAAGAGCGGCCATTTTTCTTCCCAGAAACGACTCTGGCGACCCTTTTCTGCAGAAATGGTCTTGAATCTGACTGGAATCAGAGCATCTCTATCAGATCTATCAGATCTCTGGCTTCCATTTTGGCATTTTGATCATTTTGGTCTCAGCATGGAGCATTTGTTATGCCACCCCTCTCACAATGGTCTTTGCACGTGCAAATTTGCCTTGAAACAGCCAAGATTTCTTCGGGGTCTTGTGTATGCCTCATAGAAAATCAAAGAACTCGTACTTGCACTTTGCTTTACATTTTTTTCAATGACAACATAGTGTGAATATGTGTGAATTATGCAAACTTTGCATATCTCCAAGAGTTTTTCCTTGCATTCTTGGCAACTGTAGCAGAAACTCTACTTGCAGACGATGCTTTCCTTACATCCACCAATGGAGCTGGTCAGATGGTGACACGCCAAACAAAGGAGCTGCCGTGTGTTGAGCCTTATGAATCTTATGAGACTAAATCATGCCGTATTTGTGTATAAAGAATGTGTATGAATCCGTTATGCAGAGGAATTTTTTCTTCCGTACAACCATACGTGTTTCGTATTTGTATCTGCGTATGCCTATGCGCCTATAATTACGGTATATGCATGCACAAGATCTTGTTTGTAATTAGTTTCTTTTGCATATGCATTCGCATGGCAGGTATAAATTGTACGATTCTATTATTTGTTTACACATATTACATAAGTTATGGCATGCCTCATTTCATGTTCCAGCTGATTTCAGCTGCAATTCTGTCCGAAGTGCAAGGAGTCAGATCAGCAGGGAATAGCGACTTCCAATGCCGCAGCTGACCCAGATGTCTTTTTGCGCAGTCTTGCCTGGTTCCAAAATCGCACACAGCCTGACCAACTCCTAGATAGTTTGCAAACAATCCGTGGTGGAATCATCTGGAAGGTGAGTCTGATCAGCTGGAAAGAGTGCAGCATCTCACTTTTGTTTTTTCCTTTGTCACCTGAGGTTGAGGAGTGCTGGGAAGGCGGAACTTGCCACTGCATCACTAGATTTGGCCCAGTTGGGCCTTTGTGGATCTACAGATATGGTGAACTTCTGGATATGGCATGTACTTTGATCAGAATCCTAAGGTGATGGAAGCATTAGATCAAAGTCACATTACTGTGAGGTGCCAGTGAGGCAACAAGTAGCTCTCTTCGAAGTTTCGTCAAGTTTGGGCCTTGGCAACGCAGCCGTTGATTAAACAAACAGTTTGTGGTCGGTCGCACCCTGAGGAGCTTCGCAAATCCTCAGGCCGTGGCCGATGATTCACTGTGACTACCAGTGATGAAACATGGCCAGATGGTCCCCTACAGATGAATGTAGATAAATGATGATAAATGGAGGATTTGTAGCTGGAACGGGGAACATCATTGAACTAAATGGGGATTTTTTTGATTGCCATGGAATACCAGAAAGTAGGGATGCTGATGCTGTACGCTGCAGCCTCTGATCCCTTTGTTTTATTTTGTTTTTGTCGGCAGCACTCCACTGCGCTGGCCATTGCGCTCAGCCTCATTGCGGAGCCTTGGAAAAGAAATCAGAACCATCTGGGTCTGTCAAGAAATGACAAATTTACACCACAGTTCTATGGCAATTTGAGTGGGAAAATGGAAAATGACAAGCCCAGTAGATTTTGGGCACCCTTTTTTCCGAAGCCAACATGCAGACCTCTGGAGATTTGGTAGCTGAGGTGGGAATCCAAGCGTGGGAAGAAGAAGTGATCCTCAGCAGGGCACTTTTCCTAATTGGGCTGCTGGTAATACCTGCAGCCATTGGGTCCAGTGCTCAGTGCCTTGCAGAGAAACTGCTGTGGAGCTTCCAATTCACAGGGCTATTTTGAGGTCAGAAGACTCTTAGCCTTTGTTCATCTTTGTCCTGTTTGAATCTATTTCATGCCTATTGAAGCACGGCATTTTGGGCCATGTGAAACTGTCCGAGGCGACCATTGCCGCCAGCAGAAGTGTTTGAATTGGTTGAGATTGACGAAGTTTCGAGGACCCACTAGCACAGCATGAGCTACCTTTGCCTAAGCAAGATACCATGGTCGAGCGGAAGATATCATAGCTGGAATGATTGTTATATATCATATGCACTGACTTTGTCCCCGTTGCGATGGAACACTACTTTCGAGCGATACCTTTCTCCCATGACAGGACGCAGCCAAAGGTTGCTGAGGTGCTTTGCCCGACACATCGGATCAATCTCAACATATTCTCAACATATTTCCAAATGCGCCAAAGGATTTTCTCTGAAAATAGGATAATTGCCTCCAACTTTGATGCTTTATCATGGCCTTCCTGTTTTTAAAATGGCCAGTTGGGGGTTGAATCCCCAATTTTCAGAAATACCCAAGAATCGCTGGGTGGCAATGCCAGGTGCCACCGGCACAAGCGATGGTCTGCATCTCAGTCACATGGTCACCATTGGTGAAACTTCCCTGGCGCGTTATGGTTCGCTGGAGGATTCGACGCCATATCTGGTGTGACCGCAACGACTTGTGGTGACTAAAGCGTTGTGGCGCAGAGAAAAGTACTCTCAATCTTCGTCATGGAGCCAGTCACTGGCGGGAGTTTGTTTGCGCCAAGCCTCAAAGACCTTGGATAAGTGAATCGCAGCCTTTTGCGACGAACCAATATCCCTGGACGATCCAATGGAGGAGTTCCTGTGGGGTTTCAAGTATTGCGAACTACTTGCAGCATGATTGCAAGAAGCGTCACAGGGTCATAGCAACATAAGGACGGAACAATTACAACCATCAATTCATCATAAAGATGTTACAGGTTCCCAAATATATGTAACAGACTAGCAGCAATTTTGAACATGCTGGAATTATCTGGAATTGAACTTGACTGCCCCGTAGCTTATTCGGGGACAAATTATCACCCATCTACATTCATCTACGACAATGGCAACGACAACAGCCACATGGGGGGACGGCTTGGTTATTTTTGTAAGGCGATGCACATTCCTGATCATATTTCCCTTCTCAACTGGTATCTTGATGCAAGACTAAAAGCTCCATGGCTGCCAGTGAATCTACTTTCTTGTTGATTCCTTCAGACATATGGATTTGCGCCATGGACCAATCCCTTTCGAGATGGTTTGGGCAAGCTCATGATCTCTCAACGTGAGAGCCGTTGGGCAGAATTCACAGACTCAAATCCCATTGCCGGTCAAACCGGCGTTGACGTTTCCTCAAAGACTGCCACGCTGAAACGAAGCTTCCGCGACGCCCCACGACAGAAGGAACTGCAACCTCTTGTTCCTTCTTCCAGGGAGGGACAGGTGGAGAGAAGAGAAAGCAAACATGTCAATGCCTGGGCATCACCCAGATCTTCCGGAGGGACTCCCAATCATGAGCCAATGCTCAAAAGGATTTTCCTGAACAAGTCCAGTTGAAATTCAGATCATCAACGGCCAGCTCCACAAATGACGTGATTTGGTGCCCTCTGACACAAATGTGGCACTGCCGGCTGGGGGCAGAGTTGGTGATCTCTTTGATAACGGGTGTGATGGACGTGACACCTGACTCGCCCTGCGGGTCTGCAGAGCAGATGAGGTCACAGGGTGACACCAATGACCGGCAAATCCGAGGAAACTTCACCCTGTCTTTGTCAACTCTAGGGGGGAACATCTCAGAAGAAGATTCGCAGCTGAGGATGGAGAGAGATCTTGTCTCTCATGCATTCAGCAGCACCTGGATTGGACGAAGCTGTGGTCAGACCGACTTTCATGCCAAGTGGATAGATGAGCAAAAGCCCTTGCATCCCTTGCAATCTAAACGCAATATCCGTGTGTTTGCCAACGCTGCCAGTCTTTGTGTCCATCCCACCTGGCAAGATGCGGATCCCAGCTGTACGGAACTGGTGGATGTAAAATCTGAGCCCACCAAGACCTTGGGGTCATCCCCTCCAGGCTGGCTGGTGTGCTGCCAGCTTCAGCTAAGGGACTCCCAGGGTCAGAACTTACGATGTCCCAGCCGAGTTCCAGCAATGGAAGCCGCTGGGCCCACTTTCGGAGGTATAGGACCTGATTTGAACCGCTGGAAGCTGGCGGTTCCTGGCTGTGTGACAACACTGGTGAAGAGTGAAGTGGATATCAAGAGAGGACTGGGGTAGACTTGGCTCAGGGGGTGTGGGGGATGTTAGTATTTCGAGATTTAATCAATATGATATGATAATAATACATGATATAGACAGATGCATTCATAAATCAATGTGTGATTTGACTTGCGCCATTTTGTTTGATTTCCGTTTCTGGATGTGGAAAAAGATCGTCCTGTCAGAGGAGTCCTCAGCTTCAGCTTGAAGGTTTCACAGGATGCTGGGAGAACATCTGTGACTCTGATAGATCGATGCAGCTGTGTTCAAACGAAAGGATCCCCCTTTGCACTGGATCTAACGCTGCCTGCCACATGTAGTGATTCGTCACACTTGGCCAGGGTAGATGCAGAGATGCCAGCCTTGCCCGGTTTGCACAAAATAGCCGCAGCACCAAATCCACCGAAAGTCGCTGTGAAGACCCAACTTGCCTCGGATGCAGCACAAATTAGAGATGGTGATCACGGCAGTCAAAGTCCCTCACCCGAAGATTGCAGACGCGACAGTCCCAAGAAACGTCAAATTCTGGCTGCTCTGCAGAAAGTTGCAGCGAGGCAGGAACCTGGCAGTCCAGGATGTCCACCAGGTCTGGCCATGAACAAGGCAGCTGCCAAGGTATTGTTGGAGCCCATGTGTTTGGAAGGGAGGCACTCTCCAAGAGCTATGGCAGCTATGGTTGGGGACCAGCTGAGCGGTTTGAACCATGAGGACCCAACTGACTTGGTATCCAACACATCGACAGTTCAGTCTGTGTCCACCCTGCTACAGCACGTTGGAGCTTCAGGTTCAGCCAACCCATGGCAGTCACAGACAGTGTACGATGCCTCATCCCCAAGAAGATATATGCCTTCAGAGCCTCTGCCCAATTACAGTGGCTGGGGCAGGAAGAAGAAGTCCAAGAGTAAGAGCCCTGCAAAGAAGCAACGCGATTTCGCAAAGAACTACTGGTAGGAAGTCCAGTTGCAGTGCTGTGTAGCAGGTTGAAAGCAACTTCGAGAAGTGTGGGGTGAAGTAGCAGGTGTTTCCATAAGAATCCATAAGACATGTTCAAGAGAAAGAGTTAACAATGAATAGAGCATTTTGCTGCTTCTTCAAACTTGTTCAGCCATGTCCTTGACTTGAAACATGGACATGGCTCACTCGCGACTGCAGCATTTTGCAGCTGCGCTTCGAGAGACAACAATCAGCGCTCCGATGTAGAGTAGACTTTGTTTGCAAACCGATGATTCCCTTGGGCTGTGTGCTCCGAACAAAAGAGACATATTCTGTGCTTGGTGAACCTCGATGCTTTCCACTCGCTGAAGTTGACTTGAGAGTTGCACTGTAGAACGCAAAAGCTGTTTGCACGCAAGTCCAACCCTTCTGCGGATGCTTTTGCTCTATAGGCCTTCCGCTCAATGTTCTTGATTGACATGGCGTTTCAGAAACAAAACAAACTCTTGGCATCATCTTCGGCTCAGTGCAGTCGAACATACAAACATACAAAGCTTCTGTCTCAAACAGCGCATCAAACTTTTTGGGTAGTCTGCAAGTGCGAGGTTTCAACACAAAACAAAGCACTTTACCCATCGAATGGTTGGTGCTGCTGGCCCTTGTCACCTCAGAGAAACAATGCAGGTGGATTCGCTGGTCTGACACTTACTGACACCAGCAGTCTAGGTACGTGTGCGGTGATTTGTTTGGGCGATTGGAAGACTCTCTCTCTCTCTCTCTGCCTCTCTGGTAAGATGAGTACCAGGGAACAGAAGGCAGCAAGAGTTTGAGCATGTTCTTGAGCAGGACTTTGATGTTGAGATGTCCAATTTACACTTGGCGCGCTGAGGAATCCATGGAAAAAGTGGAGTCAGAAGCTTTTGAGGTGCAGTTTGCTCCCTCTTCGCAGCCTTTTTGCTTCGAGTTCAAAGTCCCTCATGTCTTTCCAAACAAGACGAAACTTCTTTTCAAGGCATGAAGCCAATTGAATGAGCTCCAAAGACTATTCACACCCATACGATAATGCAAATCGTCAGGCTCAAGTTGCAGAGGCAAGAATACAGATTGCCAATCGCCAAGGGCGTCGGATGTTTCTGTAAGCTCCTTACTGTGAAAGTGGATGCATTGCATTCCGAGGTGGAAGCAATCATGGAAAGAGCAGATCTGGCGTGTGACGAGGCCCCAAAAACCAGAGGACTTCCAGTGACACAGACGTGGATGATGGGATAATTTACCTCAATTACTAGTAAAACATAATATAGTAAAACCATGTAAAACCCAGGGTCTCCGAATGGCTTCCTGTAAATTTTCCCTCCAACCAGTCCATAGATTCTCGTTTTTCGAGAACCTGCAGGTAGACTACCTGGTGTCATCAGCCCTCCGGCACTTGCCTCCTGCACTACGGGTCTGCCTTGCCTGTTCATAAGATCTCACCAGTGCTGTCTGCCGCAGAAAGGGACCCCCTAGGCCCTAGGGATGTTAATTAAGGATTTATGGATATTTATGGTGTATGGTGGATATATTATATATAATTCTATATATACCCATGCATTGAGTTTGGCAGGCTTGGGTGTGCATGTATCATCTTTAAGTGCTTCAATGAATGCTATCATTTTGGCTCAAGTAAACTTGAACCAAAATAGCATTCATTGCTTTTTCTTTCTTGGTCTTGGTAAGGGGTGACCTTCCCAGACCTCGATTGATTGGTTCAAACTCGACACAAGGGGTGACCTTGTATGCAGCGCAAACTCCCAGGGATCGATATCCCGGCAGCCACTGAGGCGAAGATCCTGCATGCGGCTGCTTTCCTGGAGTTCAAGGGCCACGTGGAAAGGCTGGCTAGGGAGGGCTCCGATTTGGCAGCATACACATGCTGGATGCATGGGATTGAAGTGTTGCACTCCCCCTACGTCATCACGACTGGGACGGACTCTGAGTTGTTCCCCCCCCTGCCAAAGCTGCCCTGTTGCATTGATGATTGCCAGCGCTGCGCAGCTCATGTTGGGGGTTCAAGTTCCCGTGGCTCGGCCTGTGGAATAGCCGGGGAGTTGTGCTGCCGGACGATGTGGCGCCTGCGGATGCTTGAGCGTACTACTACCAGCACCAGGACCCAATGGACCTGCTGCTGGTCGCTGCCTACACAAAACTCAAGGTGGCAGCCGACATCGTGCCCCAAGACCTCTATGGATTGCAGCTCAGGTGCACAGCGGGTGACGCTGGGCAACTGGGCCTGGGAGAGATGTTCGATCAATGGAGGAGTTGGCTCAGATGCATGGGCCCGCATGAGCTCCCGCCGACCCCCCAGAGCTCCCAGGGGGCGACCCTGGCCAGCATGGGGGAGAGAGGGCGCCAGAGCTCATCGAGCGCTATGTGGGTGGCTGGAGAGCCAGGATGCGGGTGTGCTGCAACTTGGCACGGCCTGCACAGAGTGCGGAGACCCTACAAGGCGCGTGTGCTGGGCATGCTGCGTCGGGATGTGTAGTGCCTGCTTTACTTGGCGAGAGCCATGCGGCACTTGTGGCGGACGTAAGAAGATGTTTGCTGAAGGTTGATTTTATGACAGAGGAGGCACCTCTGAAGTCACCGCAGCATCTTTTTGCTCTCCGCACCTTAGCAATCTTGTTAGGGTGCAGTGCCATGGTATCAGGCGGCAAGGGCTACTATGCAGCTCAGGCGGCAGCCTCATCTTCGTCAGGGGGTGACCCTGCACCAGGATGGAGAGCGGCCGACTCGTTGATGATGATAGCTGCACAGCGGGCGCGTCAATGGAGGGAGAATGAAGGCCTCCTGGACGACAACGACTTCGCCTATGCCTACACAGATTACGATCAAGTCGTTGGACTAGCCGGTCACCACGTCGCAGATGACTGGCTGCAGACGCGAGCAAGGGTGGAGGAAGAACTCCTTGCAGCGGGGGCCAAAGTCGTGGAGGACAACCCCAAGGGTTCCGTCACTCTGCGCCCTTGGCGCAAGACGATATACAAAAAGAAGCCCAAAGCCGTCAACGTCGACAAGAACCTGGGTGAAGCCGTCCAGAAGAGGGTGAACGGCTTGGTGTCGATGTTTGTGGGCATGGGCGCATTCAAGCCAGCTGGCATCTTGACAGACACCCTCAGGGCCGAATGGAAGCAAACGTGCAAGAGGATCGCCGAAAAGAAGGTGAAGGACGCCGAGAAAGCGACCATTGACCGAGTGGTTAACACATGGTTGGAGCTGAGGGCCTTCTTGGAGAGTCGGGGGCGACCCGCTCCTCCTGGAATGGTCGACTTGGATCAGTTCCTGAACCACACATCGGCCCCAGCACGTGCACTCCAAGCCCTGAAGTGGATGAACAAGAATGCCGACCAAGATCTAGAGCTGGGAAATTTGCAAGTACCCACAACACCCAGGGCGACTGGGCAGCGTGGGCAAGCACCTGTGGTGGAGCCGCCGTTGGTGCAAGCCTTAGAGGACCGCATCGTGGAGTTGCATGCAGTCGGCGATGAGAGGTGGTCAGTTCTCCTGGCCCGTTGGATCATGTCGTTTGGCTGTTTGAGGTATGCGCATATAGCGCGATCAGAACCTCGACGCCTCACGGCCGCATTCCTCCATTGCAGATGCCCCAAAGGAAAACAAAAGCATGCTCGTGAAGGATTCGAATTCGACTTTGCAGTGCCGGCCACCTTTGCCAATGGCTTCTTTTGGGCCAAAGAAGTGCTGGAGGCTTATAGGACGCTGGCACCGGCGAGGCAAAGACTTGCAGGCCTTTGTTTTTCGGACGAAGGGCGTCCTTGGACGATCCTCGAAGTGCAAGAAACGATGCAACAGGAAATGTCCGTGTTCCTCGACAATCCAGAAGACAAGAAGGTGAAGTCGCTGGTCTGGGGTGCTACAGCAAAGCTGACTAGCAACCTGCTGTGGGAGGCGATCCCGCAGGCAGAGCTAGATGCAGCCCGTGCTCACGGCTTAGCCGAAGCTGACAGGCTGTTGCGGCAAGACCGTCAACCAATGTGGGCCTCTGCACACAGCTTCCAGGATGTGAAGAAGAGGCTCAAGCTGTCACAACAGTTTGTTGAAGCTGCACAGCAAGCCCGGCAGGAGGCCGAAGCACCAACACCCCAGATGCCTGACCAACTCAACGGCAAGGTGCTGACAGCCACATTGAAGAACGGCAAAGCCATTTGCCCGGAGTTCCAGACGGACGAATGCCCGAATCCGGCAGACGCTTGTCCATTCGGAGTTCACTTGTGTGCCGTCTTACAAAAGTCAGGACGGGCATGTGGCGGCAAGCACGGCGCTGGCGTCTGCAAAATCAAGCGAGCAGTGATGGCCGAGACAGCAGTGCCGGCAGCACCCAAGCCATCGGCGACCCTCGTGCCGGCAGCCGTTGGTGAGAAGGCCACGTTCGGCAGAAAGAGGACCGCGGCGAGCGGTGCCACTGATGATGAGATCGCAGATGTGATGTGCACAGCTGTCAAGAAAGCTAGAGGCCAGGCTGCACCCAAGACTCCGCCGAAAGCACCAGCAATTGCAGCCCCCAAGACACCTCCAAAAGCCATGGCCTCCACACCCAAGCCATTGGCGACAGCTGCAAAGTCCATGGCCTCAGCCACCACGCCGAAGCGCATGGCAGCCCCTGGCAAGCCTCAGATCAAAGCCCTGCCCAAGAAAGGCCGTGGGAAGACACCTTGGACAGGCACTTGGAGCGATTGGGTGTCGGCTCAGGGACGGCCCAAGCTCCAACCTGCATCTGGACGTCCAGGAAGGGCGGTGGCATCTACCTGGCGGGGCTCCCAATGCGGCAGACCGTGGACAGGTTCCCCAAGACGGCGTTGCAAATCTGCTGTTTCCCGCATGGTCCTGAGAGCCGGGGGGGGGTGACCCTCCCGGGGGCTCAGTTGATGACTTTTGCGGCGGCATACAGCCAGGAACGCAACGAGCAGTGGACAGACGTGTGGCCTGCCGTTAAGAATACGGTTTGGCACGGGGACAACGTCGTGGTGCATTGCATTAAGGGGCGACACCGAGGTGCTTTCTTAGGCATCCTCTGCCGCGCATTGCTGGCAGGAGAGACCATTGAGGATGCCAACAACTTCGTGGAGAGCCGCCGGGACACAGAGTTGAACAAGGTGATCCGTGACCAAGGCATGAAGAAGTGGCTGCACAAGACGTTCCAGGATACCGCGGTGGGAACACAACATCCTGAGCCGCAGGGGTATGCAGCCACAGATCGGTCCAGTACCCATGTCACGGTCGAGGACGGCATCACCCTGTGCCAGCACAAGCAGGCTGACGGGAAGGCGAAA